CAACATGCCAAGGAAGAGAGGAAGGAGCAATTAAATAATTAAAATTATAAAGGATTAAAATATATATATAAAAATGGGGAATATCGCACTTCTGACAATCGCTGCAAGTGTGTGGGCTAAATTTGGAGAATCCGTGCTTCTCGCATGGACAACTGTATGTGGCCGGCTCACGCGTCGAAAAACCTTCCGATTTATTCGTGTAAGCACCAGACGGAAAAACAAAAAATATCGTGTATCCAAAAGCACTCCAATAAATAAATAGAATTGAAACGACACTTTGAAATGTTTTCCCGATGAAAATGAATAATAATAATAAGTTTCAATAAAAATAATAAAATGTAAATTGGATTTTATCATAAGTTTGCTTGAATTTCCTTTTTTCTGAGATCGCAGCAATGCGCGACGGGTAAGCTAGTAGTAAATATAAATAAAATTAATATTTCGCGACCACTCCACCCAAAGGAATAATAACAATATTACTAATTGAATTTTGACTGTAATTATAAATGTAATTTTTTTTTTATTTATTCAATTATTATTATTATTTTTTATAAATGTAAATCGTCTTTTATCACTCGAAAACAATTTGCTTTTGTGTGTTTCTAACGTAGATCCATGTATGGAGAAAATTTTAAAAGAAAAACAAATGCAACCATCACATTAATTTCTTTTCTTTATATGTGTACTTATTGTAAGTAAAATGTTTATAAGTTTATAATAAATAATTTTTTTTCATAAAATGATTTCATTATTGTTTCGCGACCACCCTTTAATATCACCGCGACCCTCTTGGGGGGTCGCAACCCCCAGGTTGAGAAAGCTGCACTACGGCATCTTTCCATCCATCTTCTAACGGACAAGCGGAGAGGATGGTGCAATTTACAAAGCACACTGAAAAAATCGAAAGGGACTAACATCGGATTGAAGTTAGCGAGAATGCCAATAACGCAGCATGTGACCCCATCGTTGGCACGGAAGTGAGTCCGACTGAACTGCTGATGGGGCGGAAGTTGCAAACTTGTATAGACAATTGCTATCCCTCAGTTTCGAAAGAAGACAACAAGGAGAAACTAGAAATGAAATCTTTACAAGTCGGTGATCCAATTTATGTTCGAAACTTTAATTCCGCCGAGCATTGGATTCCAGCTGACATAGTGGCGTAGCGTGGGTGTCAGCCGCCCGGAGCAAAGGAAAATTTCGCCGTCCCCTTATCCCTTATTTAGGTATCTCAATTTAAAAGACTAAAATTCAGTTTCGTCACAGAATAAGTAATGAAAAATTCCGTGCTAGTGTTACCACCTTTTTAAAATCGCTGATCCGGACGGCAAGTGAGGTTTGTTCGAACAGAAGTTCGTGACGCGTGCGTATGTCATTTTGCAATGCAAAGAATAATGTGCAGTGCATACCGGTTCTAAATCAGTTACAGTTAGCGATTAGAGAGACTTGGGTAGGAGTAACATAAGTAACCTAGATGACGTAGCTCTATTGAATATTGGAAGTGTATATGAATACAAATGAATCGTACAAGCAAAAATAAAAAAAAGGTCGACAGGTTGCGCACGATATCCCCAGGTAAAATTAATAGTTCACCCGGACGCTATTCCGTGCTCATTTCAATCGGTCCGAATCGTAGATGCGACGAAATTATGAAATGAAATGGTTCAAATTTTTACAAGATATTATTATTTATTGTAAAATTTTGTCTCTCCCTAAAAAGTTACGCCACTGAGCTGACATCACTGATGTGAAAGGGAACATCACTTATTCGGCCTGCACAGCAGATGGTCAGATAATTAAGTGTCATATAGACCAAATTCGACGACGTTCACGAGATAAAGAGACTTCAGTCGAACCAACAAACGAAGAGTCTTAAGCAAACAAACTCAACAACAAGTCTGACGTGAAAGAACCAGTTCCGGACGATGCGGAACAAAGTTTGGATGCATCTACCAGCAATCCCAGAGAGGAACGTCAGACACGGATAAGACAACCCCCAAAATATTGGAAAGATTATGTATCTTTCTAGAAAGGAAGAAGTTATTATGTCGTGTCTCACCACGGCTTGTACAGTGCTCGCTCGTCAAGCGCAGCGCCCTATGGTTTGACTGCTGTACTGTACACTGTGTACAGTACACAGTATAAGCTGAGAAACCGCGGGCACCTTCTTTGGTGCCCGCGGTTTCTCATTTCTGTACACACAAATGTATATAGAAAATAAACGCGTAATGTGTAAAGACCTGTATCTATTTACTTCCTCAGACACGATTCAGTAAGATTCGCGGGAATCATACATACAGAGAGTGATTTGCTAATTATGACATAAATTCACGATCGGATAGCTTTCGAATATAAATAAAATTTTGAAAACTAGTAAATGTCGCTTATGGTAAAAATTGGACTTGTACATCGTCGCGACGTCACGAATTGGTTGACTAAGCTCAACCAATTCGCCAACGTCCTTGAATGGAGTGTGGTATCACCTGTATTCTTACACCGTGATACGGACCACACCCGAGCCCAAGGACTATAGTACAGTACATATAGTTCATGGCCCGGACCAGTTAATCTACCGACTCTGCCCGGACCAAAATGACTACGGCGATAGTGTTGCCATCCTACTATCTGAAGAACTGAATTTACACATAAAGCAAATGTCAAATGAAATGAAGTGTATAACTCAAACATATACAAAGGATATTTTATAATTTTATAAAGTATATACATAGATATTTAAGACAAAATTAATTTATTTTATGACAAAGTATATTTAGAAAAAAAAAATGTTTTAAAACTACCGATCACGTGATCAACACGTGTCGAAACTAGTCACGTGACCAAAGTTGAATCCGAAGAGCGATTGTCAAGTTATATTGCAGTATCGGAGATGGCGAAAGAGAATAACGCTCAAAATAAGGTACTTTACCAGGAAAAAATAATTAATTAATATCGAAATGAATTTGTAAATGCGTTGTTGAATTGTTATTTACTTAAAAGTGCGCTTATATTAAATAAATCATATTGATAGTAGGCTTAACGTCCATTTTGGATTTGTACTGGTTTTCCTTAAAAGGAAGCTTTTAGAGGGAAACTTGATTTAAATGTTGAATTGTATTCATTATTACAATACAAATATAAATATACACGATAATAATTTTTGATAATGTAATATTTCTACTGATTATTTTAGAGTTTGCGAAATCAAGCGTTTCAATGAGCATTGCTGCAATTTTCGAATACATTAGATGAAAAAATGTGTGCTTTGCACGTGTAATTTCGCATTTTAACATTATTTTGCCTGTCGAGGAATAATTTAGTTTAATTACTTCTTTTTATCTTCTTACATTAATGTATTTAAAACAATTTTAAAAAATTTTTACATATAAGACAGAAAAGTTAACACTTGTAAACAGATTTTAAACTTGATATGAACGTAATGTAATTATGCTGACTGATTGACGGGTTAATTATTTTTATGAAATTTTTATTTTGAAATTTGCTACTTAAGAATACTTTGAGGCATTAATTAATCAGTGTTTTTAACTTTGGGTATTGTTATGTATATAGTCATTTTCTGACAATGTCCAATTGTGTAAGTCTGTGATCTCATGTAGTTATAATGGAGTACAGGGAATTTTGATCACTGAAAATTTTGGGAAATAGTCTAATTTGGTAGGAAAATATAGTTAGGATTAGTATGGGAAAGCTTACTAAGGACTTAAGAAAAATCTTGTGAAAAATTTTCAGATTTTCCAGATTTAAAGTAAATAATATATAACAAAAAATTACCACAGGAACAATTACATAATAAACATTATAATTATTATATACTGTATTGATTAAATAAATATACAGCTTTGCTATGTGTGTATATAATATGGTACAAACATCATATTACATACATAACATAAATTGCATAAATAGAACATAATAAATGTTCTATTTCATGGAATATATCTTGGACATTTCATGAAATAGAACGTTATGCAATTTGTGCATGATTGTAATGTAATGGAGTGTGTTCAGTACCTAATCTTTGTTTACATGGTAGATTGGTTCTGTGAAAGTTTTGTACAAATTGAAATTGTATAAACTTGTGACTAGGAGCTCATACACGTTAAGTTAATCCTTCGAGGATTAACCATGCATGCCTGACCTTGAGTAATTCTTGATAGTGTGTGGGGGAAAACTTAACAGTTTTGGCGAACTGTACTGACCACCGGAGTAGAATTGAAAATCCATTTGATTTTCCTGCATAGTTTTGGACTGCGCAGGCCAACCTTAACGTGTGTGCTGTCGTGTCGTTCAGTTGTGAGACCACTGAATAGTTAGAACAATGTCTCGTGAATGTTTGGAAGTATTATATTCTATAACCTTATTAACTTTCATTATTTATAACCTAAAAAATTAATTTTTCAGGTTATAAATTATTTTCAGATCAAAAATTTCGTAAATTTAAATTAAAATTATAAATAATTTTAATATTTAGAAAAATTCTCAATTCATTTCTTCTGTTTTCATAAAACATCTTGATACTCTATATCATTTTCTTTTACATTTTAAAAAATTTATTGTTTTAATATCCAAGTAAATTAAAACGTGACAACTTAAAATAAGACAAAGTTTAATAAATTCTTTTTAATTATTAAGTTATAAAATTAATTTGCGATAATAATGTTTACAATTTGTACTAATATCGGATGTGGTTGAGAATTATTAATATATATTCGTCTATAAAATTTAATCCATGAATTTTTTTGGTAGTAAAATTGACTTGCCATTGATCTTTCGCTGATAATTGATGCTTTTTAACAGAATCTATAGCCCAAGATTTCTCTTGAAAAATTAATTTTGTGATCTGAAATAATTCCATTAAAAAATTATTCATTGAAAAATTAATTTTGTGATCAGTGCTACCCAAACCACTACTACTATTATTTACACCATAGACTTCTATGCATACTTTTTTCCTGTGAGTTTTAATAGAATTTGTTGCCAATAAACATCCAAGAACAGCCAGTATGTCGTCATCAAATGCCATGGCCAACTGACTGACTGAGAGACAATGACGTAGCGAACATAACTGGCGCCCGGGCCACAACACTATATTGGCGTCCCTCCTCTTCCAGAAAAATCTTTTGTCTTGGAGACCGTTTGGCACCCCTCTGCGAGTGGCACCTGGGGCACGTGCCCTACTTGCCCCACCCTAGCTACACCTCTGCTGAGAGATTTTCTTCTTCGCATGTGGGTGATAGGAAATTCTGAAGTTCCTCGAGGTCAGGCAGCCTCAGAGGATTAACTTAACGTGTATGGCCACCTGACGTCAAAGCATGTATATTGTAAGTAGTGAAACTATATTGTTCATTTGATCACTTGATATCAGTGTCCCCTAGTAATGGTTATGTAGACACTTATTCATTACTAAGTTATACCAATCAATTATTAGTATGGTTTGTTTGTTTTTTTTCTTTTAAATTGATAGCATCCTAATGAGGATATGTTCATTTAATGTTTGCAGGCTATATATAACATTAGAAAAGCAATTATATCACTTTCTGAAACAAAAAGATAGGCATATATGGATAGCAAAGTTAAAATTTTTTATTTCATCTAATAATTAAACTTGCATACATTTGTTTAATATAATTATTACACAATGGAACAATACAATAAATAAAATTCTGGAATGCAGTATTATTAAACAATATAGGATTTTTTAATGCTGTTATTCAAAGTTTAAATCTGTAAGAAACATACAACAAAATAACTACATGATTATAGTTTACATATAAAATTATATCAATAAATATGTTATCTATATACTATATAATATATTTCTAGCAAATATAGGATAATAATTTCATATACAGATAAATTAACATATTTAGGAACAGTCAATATATTTCCAATTATTTTATACACAATTCTTCTCATTATTTTTATTTATAAGCTGTGATAATTATTGCATTTTCTACTTAATTCTGGAATAATTGAAGTAGTATTATAAACTTTTAATATTTACGTTACTTTAGTTTTTGGTATTTATATGGTATTTATAATTAAATTTATTTAGAACGTGTTGTGTGTCTATAACAGTGTAAGTAAATAATTTACTTAAACAACTAAATTAATTGTAGAAATGTGTTTGGTCTAATTGTATTCATGAATATTTTCTTACATATTTTCTTATATCTGCATAAATTAAATTTTAACAACATTATAAATTGTAATTGAACTAGCATGGCCCCCACATGGTAGTGACTGGCTGGACCCTAGTCAGGGGGCCCAGGTTTATGGGGACCTGGTATGAAGATGGCCAGTCTAGATAACCTAGCAATTTTGTGCATTGAAAATGATTTAGCTAAACAAACAAATTTTAGTGACATGATTGAAAAATTTGCTTTGGCAAAAGCCAGACAATTTACTGCAAAATAATTTAATTGATAGTTTCTTGGGTTTTGTCTTGTTGATATGCTTTGTTTTTCAATTTCTGTCATTCTTTCAGTTCTTGTGTTGGTTCCTATTTTGTTTTTATTTTTAATGTCATGTTTGTCATTGTAAAATTTGTTGGTGTAATTCCTCTATTGTCTCTAATAAATCTAATCTATGTTTTTGTAAATACATGCTTAGTTTGTGAATGAAAACAATGTTTTTTGTCATTTAGCTGCCTTATATCCCAAAGTGGCTGTAGGGCCGAGTGGTTAGGTCACTTGTCTCACACCATTAACGTCTATGGTTAGAATGAGGAGGGGGAGTGGGCTTGCCAGTGATCCTGGTCCGGGTGCCATGTATACAATCAAATGTAATTGCTATATGATCAAAATCATTTACCTTTCTTTTTCCTTGGGATATGGATTTAATCAGTTTCCAGTTGAAGACATTGTCATAAAGCTTGCAAACATACAATAAATAGCAATAAAATGTTTTGCTGGTAAAAACAAACTTCTTGTGTAAAAAGATTTATTTTCAATATAGCTAATAATGGTTGGTATAACACATGGTATAACCTGGGAATGAATGAGTCTACGCAACTGTTACTAGAGGGCAGTGATATCATCAAGCGACAAATTTAACAATAGAATTTCACCGCTTACCACATACATGCTTTGCATCTTAATTTCCTGTTATCAAGCAATTTTTCAAGAATTGTTTACAGTTTATAGCACTTTGAGTGCATTGTCAAGGAGCCTTGTGTCCCATTTGGAAAGCTGGTAACTAATGTATCAATAAAAGAGTGCTAATGTGAGATTGCAATAGCATGGTGTTGTGTTTGGCATGGAACTATAGTGTTATTTATCTTAATCACCTGCATATACATGGAATATAAGAGAAAATAAAGATAGTGGACCTATCAAAAGGTAGAGGGTAATGAAAAAATAGGGTAGAATTAAAAGTACAGTGGAACCTCGGTATACGACCTTAATCCGTTCCTGGTGTTTGGACTTATACCGAATAGGACGTATACCAAACCAACCTTTTCCATAAGAAGTAATGTAAAAATGATTAATCCGTTCTCATGTAAAAAAAATGGCTGGCTTTAAACACCGGGCTTTCCTCGCTAGTTTCTGCTTGATTTTTCATGAGATCAGCATGTATCCTTTTAACTTTCTCGCAAATAATTTCTTCCGATACGCTGTCTCAGGCACACTGTTTTTCAGTTATTCAAAGCAAAAGCAATTTCTCGACTGATCTAATGTCTTCGATCTCTGTTTAGAAATTGATTTAACCCCTTTCGCAACGTTAGAAAATTTAATAATGTCTTTATTTTTCGCGATTGTCCATATCGTCGTTCTCGGAATACGGTTGGCAACAGTTAAAATCTAGAACACGCGTGCCACCTTCGTATTTCTCAATAATCTCTTTTTTCAGTTCCGTTGTGATTCTAGTCAATTTTTTATTTTTCTGTTGCCCTTTTGC